TCAATAGACGTAATAGAAAAATAGACGGAAATGGCCCCTTCTTCAATTTCGAAAAAAAAAATATAATTTTACAATTTACTGACACATATTGTTATTTTTAAAGGGGTTCTATATCCAAGGATTCACCTTTTCATGACATTTGAATGAGTATTACCTTTAAAAACAGAAACTCTGCCAATTTCTAAATCTACTGTCCATTCAAGGAAAAACCTATAAAAACTGAGACCACTACATTAAAATGGGAACACATTTTTGCCTTGGCTTGAACACCCCTGTTCTTTACGAATTGCGATGCCAAAAACTAGCAAGAATAGGATGTAAATTTTTTTAGAAAATCGAAAGATATGTATTTTTGTGTTCCCATTTTTAGTATAGCCATTTAATCCTACAGTGCAGACAATCAAAATCCAAAATTCTATGTTCAAATATCAAAAAATAAGATTTCCTTTTATTTTAATGTTCCAAAATGAAAAAAAATATATGTTAATTCATATATTTTACTCATATAGACGTGCTTACAATTAACAGTGTTTATCGTCGGTACTTTGCGGTAAACGAATAAAAAAAATTTAAAAAGCGCGCAATTTTCAGTTGACGTCGGCCGACGCAAAATAGTCTAATTTTGCGCGTAGGACAACTGAGCGCCGCCGAATCACATTTTGGCCCAAAAGACACATCCGGTTGTCCCACTGTTTGTCAGATTAGATAAGTGTTCAATTTACAATAGAAAGCGGTATGCTTAGAGATATTATAAAATCATCAAGGAGAAGGGGTGCTGTTAATTCGATTGTTTACCTAAACAAATAATATAGTTTTAACTGCAAATCGTTAAAAAACAGAACATTGCAAACAGTGCAAAGTAAATTTAAGCCAGTATACTTTGGACTGAACGGCCAATTTTCAATAAGTTATTTTTACAAATCTGTATATGCATCTAACATAGAGGTAGATACATAGTTATCGTATATTTTTTTTTATGTAAGAGAACTTATTGTATATATTCTTTTGAACAATTATAAAAAGGAAAAATAGAAACAAAACAAACTTTTAAATAATCTTGTTAAACTGAACAACTTATATTCTAAGTATGTAATGTTATATGCATTGTACTATTATTCTTCCGACAAAAACCGCTGAATTCGTCATGGTTACAATGTTGCTCCCATGTTATATACACTGCAAGCAAAACCACTAATTACAACTAACCCTAACATAGAAAGGGTACACTTTCCTACTAAAACCGATGATCAATGAGTCAATCAAAGAAATATCTATATCAATACAAATATAAGCTTTAGCATCTTCAGGAGCTAGAAAGAACTTCCGAAAAAATACTTTTTTCCAGTAATAAGGGAGGTAGCGCAATATGAAACCAAAATTTAACAACATTAAATGTAATCCACGGCCTGACAAAGCAGCAGGGGTCAGCCCTGATATGGGGCAGAGTTGATTCAAATGTGGTTGTAGACACAACACAGAATTAAACGGTTCATAGAGGTTTTGAAATCAAGAGATATTTTGATTTATGGAAAAACTATCAAATATAAATAGAAGATGTGGTATGATTGCAAATGAGACAACTCTCCACAAGAGACCAAATGACAAAATCTTCACTTGTTTGTCTTTGATTGTGTACAAAATTGAAACAAGAGGCATTCCAGATATACATATAGAAAAAAAAATTATGAATAAATTATAGTTTTCCTTTTCTGGAACGGTAAAAACAAACAAAAGCTCAAAGTATGCTGTTTACCGATGTAAGTGAAGGGATAGAAATTATCAATTAAAGGTAGATTCACTGCATGCCGCCATCTTGGATTGTACAATAGCAGTACACAATCGGTCTACTTCTTTGCCTAAATCTGGAAATTTTGAGACAGATTTGCTATTTATGTGTAAGAATGTTTAATTGTATAAAGAAAAAAAAGTGATTTATTGCATAATCCAAAATGGTTAACAAAGACCAAATATTTGTGTTTTTCTAGAATCAATTTTCCAACTGACCCATTTAAGGTGGCTCGGGTGTCTTCCTCCATCTTTGATTTTGCAGAAGCAGATAACTTTGGTCTAGATATTTGATGAAATGTGCAAATTTTGAGAGTTGTATGTAATTTATGTAAAATACTTTTGACATAAATATAGAAAATTGTGTGTTTTATCATAGTTACAGTTGTAATTTCTCAAAAATACCTTGTTTGTGTTTGATTAGATTATTTTCAACTTTGCCAAATAAGGGGAGATAACTCAGATAAAGTAATTTTTATAATAGAAAGTGTTATGAATTTACCTTTTTTGATATGTAGCAAGAAAACAAGTTCGGTGACCCCATTCTTTCTTTTTCTTATCTGAAAGCATGTTATAAGAGCAATCTTCTCACATTTTATCTTAAAGTTCTGATAGTACGTTTTCTTTTTATCACACAAAATTTGATTTTCCATGCATAATCTATACAAAATCTGACAATTTTGCACAACCTGTAGCGTGAAAAAAAGTCCGGTGACCCATACTTTTTAATATATTTTTGAAAAAAGCATGATAAAAACTTCACTTTGACAAGTTATCAAAAAATTCTATCAATTTTAATTAAGACGCCCTAGCCACCTTAAGGAGAGATAACTCTTATCGTAAAAATTGTATACTGGAATGAAATTTTTATTTTAATTTTTTTGACTTGTAGCAAGAAAATAAGTTCGGTGACACCATTTTTTCTTTAGAATAGACATGGGAATGTGTCAAACAGACAACAAACCGACCAAAGAGCAGAACACAGCCAAAGGCCACCAATGGGTCTTCAACACAGCGAGAAAATCGAGCACCCGGAGGCGGGCTTCAGATGGCCCCTAGATCAAAAAATGTGAACTAGTTCAGTGAAAATGGACGTCATACTAAACTCCAAAACATATCAATGAACTAAAATTTAAAAAAACATACAAGACCAACAAAGGCCAGAAGCTCCTAACTTGGGACAGGCACAAAAATGCGGCGGGGTTAAACATGTTTTGTGAGATCCCAATCCTCACCTTATACCTCTAGCCAATGTAGAATAAACAAACACACAGCAATACGCACAGTAACAATCAAGAACAATCCCTCCCGTTAGAAGTTTAGTATCATATCTTCATACTTCCTTAATATAGAATACAATGAATTGAATAAGAATAGTACAGATAGAAATGACACACCGATATAGAATAAGTAATCACGTTCGGTAATGATACAATTTTAATTTTGAAGAAAGGTCCAAAATCCTTAAGGGAAGCTTTAGCTGAATAAAATTGTATGGAACACATTCAGGGCTTGGTATTAATTAAAAAAATAGGATTCTTAATTAGAAATTTAGTAGAGATTTTCTTATGTCACATTAAATATGTATAGTGAGCCACAATAACTATAAATTATGTATGTGGATATGGATAAAATTAATTAGTTTTACCGGTTTACGATCTGATGGTAAAAAAAGAAACCATTCAGTAATAGATAAAAAGATAAACAAAAATATTCAAACTTTTCTAAATCACCTCTTCTTTAACTTTTTTTTATACCTGTCCTAAATAACCTCTTCATTAACTTGCCTTTCCATATGAAAACTATGTTTAAGACTATTAATGAACTTTTATTCACATGATTTGAAATTAACCTGCAAACAGACTTAAACAAAAATCTGTTGCAAAACAACTATAGTGAAGGTAAGTTGAAAATGATAGCTATGAAGAGCAAAACATACAAATAATCAAATAAAGAAAACATTTTTGTATACAAGTGTCGTGTTCAGAGTAGATTTATATTGGTTTGAATTAAACGATGTTACAAGCAAACATTTCCAAAAGAAAGAAACAAAATAGACAATGGGAAAACGTATTACCAACCAATTTTATATTTGAAATGAGGAATATATAAAACAAATAGTAATGGATGTAAAATTGCGATTACTAAAAATCCTTATCAGATTTAAATTTTAAGACATTATTACCAGTAGTTTAACAAGTAAGTTTAGGCCTAGGTACTTTTACAAATGAAACTGTCAAGATGACCACTAATAAACCAATGAGCATATGTTTTTTTTTTTATTATCAGACTAATATATTTGATGTTCTCTAATTAGTTGAAATATTTTGTTTTCAATACAATTGAGAATGGAAACGGGGAATGTCTCAAAGTGACAACAATCCGACCAAAGAGCAAAAAACAGCCCAAGGCCACCAATGGGACTTCCACACAGCGAGAAAATCCCGCACCCGGAGGCGGGCTTCATCTGGCCCCTAAACAAAAAAATGTACTAGTTCATATAAAATGGACGTCACACTAAACAACGATCCATATAAATGAACCGAAATTTAAAAAAAAAAAACCTATATGTTAACAATGGTCAGAGGGTCCTGACTTAGGACAAGTGCAAATATGCGGCGGGGTTAAACATGTTTTTTGAGATATCAACCTCCTCCCTATACCTCTAGCCAATATATTATAAATAAACACACAGTAATACACAGAGTAAAATTCAGTTGAAAAGAAGCTTTACGATTTTCATTTAAGTTCTAACTTTGGATAAATAGAACATCTATATTATATATAATTGATGCATGAGTTATTGCTAGTTTTTGTTTTATAATTTAAAAACAAGTTGAGCCTAATTGATTGATTTTGATCAGACTCGTGCAATTATTAGAAACAGCTAATTAATGTATGCTGTTCTACAGACGACAAAAGAAAACGAAAACGAATTATCTTTTGCAACACTATTACATCTTCAGTTATGCAGGTTTACCATCTTTAGACTTTAATCAAATACGTAGTGGCTGCATATATAGATGACTTCATAACTTACGTTTGTCTTGGTATTTGTTTTTTTGTTGTTGTTGACATATAATTGCTTTTCCCCTTCTGATATTTAGTATTTTGCGGAGATGTGTATTGATTTGATAAGCAACACTGTGTTGACATTGATTTTGATGGACAATTTAACAAAGTCGGACAATCCTGTAAATAACCTCATTCAATACCTTATTTTCTCTATTTGGATCGATATCTGTTTTTTCTAGTAACAATTGAAGTATGTTGAGGTGTCCTCCTCTAGCAGCTGAGTGTAAAAGAGTGTCACCGTCCTGAAATAAAAAGGTTGCAATGTTCATAGTATATAACGTTGGTACAGAAAAAACCTCGTAGAAATGATTTGAGAACACGAAAAAGCATATGCGAACAATTTGCAAAGTAAACTTACGAAATTTAAAAAAAATCACATTTCCCTTAATACAGTAAATGTGCATTAAGTAAATAACTTGTGTACATAAAAAATGTTCAGGATGGTGTGAATTAGAATCCCATCTGAATGGACACAGATTGCAAGCTATTAGGAAAGTCCTAGACTTATGTCACATGTTAATGCCTTAGAAAAAACACTAATTTGCTCCTCTAATTTTATGTAACATTTAACACCCAGAAAAAAGTAAAACAACAAAAATACCGAACTCCGAGGAAAATATAAAAAAAGGAAAGTACACAAACAACTGGCAACATCAAAAGCTCAAACACATCAAACGAATGGACAACAACTGCCATAATCGCGACCGGGCCCAGGCACCCTCCAATGCAGAAAATGATGGATTAATCCAGGCCTTAAAGCTAGCTAAAGCTCTAATCCGTATGGCAGTTACATAAAATTCCATTATATTGTCAACTATGTGTGATCAAAACAAACAGACACAATTGGTAAAAATGTCAAAAATAGGGGTTCAGTAGCCAAAACATAAAATCACAAAAATACCGAACTCCGAGGAAAATTCAAAACGGACAGTTACTTAACGAATGGCAAAATCAAAAGCTCAAACACATCAAACAAATAGATAACAACTGTCATATTCCAGACTTGGTACAGGCATTTTCTTATGCAGAAAATGGTGGATTAAACCAACATTGTGTTATAGTCTCAATCACTATGAAAACAAAAAAATATGTCAACAAAGAAAAACAAAAAGGAATATAGACAAAGCACATTCGCAAAATTGAAACACAAGAGTACAAAAAATGACAACAGCACACCAAGACAATGGCAGGATGTACAAGTACCGATCCACGTCTTTAGGATAATACCATTAAGGGACCAAATAGTTAATGTTGATAATTTACAAAGACCAATAAAAGAACACGATCACACGTAATTAAGATAATAAACAACGTCAATACCTATAATCTATACATCAAGACCATCATGCATTATTTGAAAAGTTGAAACGGAATATTTGTCAACAATGTCTTGGTATCATCCGATGAACTTTTATAGAAAAAGGACGAGACGTTCTTTGACATAACCCTGGTTCATCAACTTTCTGCTTAGACACTGGTGACGTTTTACAAAGTCTGAGTAGTAGCTGCACGCTTTTGAATACCGAAAAAGATGGGAAATGTATATCCAATAGGCAGGTGCTGTATGTATATTGCTGCTAAGGTGGGAGAAATTGATAATTTCAAAATTAAAATCGTCTCGTTTGTCATAGATTCTGGTACTGACATGACCACTGATGTAAAATTTAATGTGTAAGTCTAAAAATGAGACTAAGGAAGTCGTGTCTGTTGTTTCTCTAATGTCTGGTTCTTGAGGCTATATCAATGGAACCCAATCAAAAAAGTTTGGATTGTTTACGGAAAGAACATCCTCAATATATCTGAATGTAAAATTTATGATCTGGCTTCTTTGATCTTCTTGTTTTTGACAAGTGTCTGAAGGAACTTCGACTCACATAAAAATAAGAAGAGGTCGACGAGGAGAGGCGCACAGTTCGTTCCCATAGGAATGCCGAAAATTGTTTAAAAAGTCAACAAATATGTCGTCAATAAGAAACTCATCAGTTGTTACTCTGTGTAGCATAACAACAATAACATGAACGGTACTAATTTTTCTGACCCAGATTTTGACAATCAATGTCTCTTCAAAGATGCTCGAGGCTAAAAAATTTGAAAATCCAAAGCTTATTAAACAGATAAAGAGCTATAAACCAAAAAGGAAATAAAATGTATAGCCAAAACCGGGCAAGGAATCAGAGCTACGCATGAGGAAGATACATTCTTTCATTTTAAATAATTTCCAAAATTTTGTAACAGCAATTTTTTATAACACAAAATCCGTATTTTCATGCCAGTACCAAAGTACCGACTACAGGCATGTTTTACCTATTTGTTCCCTATTAACAAAATATGCCGTATGTTATCCCAAAGGAATATATTTTTGTAGCGTATGCTACCATTTGTATATTGAAAAGCATTGTTGATTATTTCTTTAAGACGAATTTTAAATTTCACATTGGTAATGTGTCCTCCCCCTCAAATGTGTCAAATCCCCTAAAACGTGCCAAATCGACGTCACTGTATCTCAAAAACATTGCATGATTATTTTGGATGTTGCAACCTGTCCTTTCACTAACGTCCAATCATGTGTATTCTTCAAAACAGTTAGACTTTTAATGGAAGTTAATTAATGAATTCGACAATTATTAAGTAGATATTAAATAAGGTAGTTGCTTTGTTTAAATAAAATTCGATATTGTTCTTTTTTTTAACTTAAAGAAAGATTTATTTTCGTAATTAAAGAACACCGAAATGGATTTGCGTAATGATCAGCACATGATCTAAATTTGTGAAAATATTTTATTAATAGACTATTTACCCAATTTGATATCTATTCATGTATGAATAATAACCAAATACATTGGGTTATATTGTTCCCTTCTAGGGATTGTTCCCTAAATTGTTCCATTCGATAAACCGAGACACGCTTGCAATTTTTTGTGATTAATTCCATGGATAAGAACTTTTGAAATATATGTGGCTTCCAAAATTCCGACAGAGGTATGTTAAAAAGTAAAATCACAAAAATACTGAACTCTGAGGAAAATTCAAAAAGGAAAGTCCCCACTCAAATGGCTAAATCAAAAGCTCAAACACATCAAACGAATGTATAACAATTGTCATGTTCCTGACTTGGTACAAGCATTTTATATTCATACAAAAAGTCAGAAAATACCAAGGTAATAATCAACCACAAGTGCATCAGTGACAAGATGAGGAACAAAGACAACAACAAGATAAAAAACCCATCAGATGCAGTCCACGAAACATTACACTATATCATTCAACTCTCTGTTTTCGACCTTTTCCCTGGCAGGTTAAAAAAAAACATGTGTCTTCTATTTCGTAAGCAATATTTGGTGGATTGAACCTGATTTTAAGCTAGCTAAACCTCTCACTAGTATGATTGAAACCGGAATTTTGTATTTGTATTCATATTATGATTTCCTTGATAGAAGGTTGCTGCTCACAAGGAAGCTATTAAACCAAGAGTTCCAAGTGGTGAAGTTGATATCATTCCTTCGTAAATTTTACGGATGCCACTACAATTTGGTTGACCGTTACGGAATATCCGTTTAAAAGATGATAGCGGATATGTTCCTAATGTCAAAACTACAATCCTGTTCCATTTTCCCGAATGTGATTTCCCGAATCAGACTTATTACCAGGTTTGTACTAACATGAGCAACACGACAGGTGCCACATGTAGAGCATTATCTGCTCACCCTTCTGGAACACCTGAGATCACCCCCAGTTTTTGGTTGGGTTCGTGTTGCTCAGTCTTTAGTTTTCTGTGGTGTACTATTGTTTGTCTGTTTGTCTTTTTCTTTTTTAGCCATGGCGTTGTCAGTTTATTTTTTACTTATGAAATTGAATGTTCCTTTGGTATTTTTTTGCCTATCTTTGGCTGTCACAATTACGTGTTTGTTGACCAATACAAGGTTTTGGTGTTTCATATCACTAGCAACATGTTTCGCAGTCTTAGAAGTGTATATACCAATATAGTCGTCTTATCTGAAATATTACAGATTATGACCTAAATGACTGAGTGTAGCGTCGAATGCCAGATGATGCATGGAAACAAGAGACGCTAACTCTGTCGATAAACCCGGTCTTGCTCCTTTTAAACTTCCCGCCATTCAATCAGTTTTTTTTTTTCTGACATGTATTTGTCTCTTTTAAATTTGATATCTGTTCTATATGATTCTTATGGTTGTAGACCCATTTCAAACTTAAAACATCAAAACAGATTGTACTTATTAATAAGCTTTGGATTTTCAAATATTTTGGCCTCGAGCATCACTGAAGAGAAATGTATTGTCGAAATTCACATCTGGTGCAGAAAAATTGGTACCGTTAATGTTATTCTGCATGTTGTATATAGTTTGTAATTTGTAATGGTGAATGTATTTTAATAATACACATATTCACATACATAAACATATCCATCTCTGCTTATTCTTAGTAACGTTATTTTTACATATATGCATTGGAACATAACATAAAATTGAAGGATAACTATCATGTATTTACTCGTGTATGAATAATTATTATAAATGCATCTGTGCAAATGAACAAAGCGTAAAAAAAACAGGAAAAACACTTTTAACTTAATTAGTTTTCCATTTCCTTAAAAATCACTCTTTTACAGCTGAGTGTAAATGGGTTGAAGATATGTATGTCGTTGCATTCTATTGATTTAATGTATTACACTTTTTTCCCTTTGAATATTTAGGTATGTTTCGAAGGTGTGTAAATATTAAGCTAAGAACATTGTGTTGAAAATTAATTTGATTGTTGTCTGAGCCGATTAAACGAACGTAGAGATTCCTGGTAAAAACACCTTTCCATACCTTATTTACTTTGTTTGGATATATATCTGTTCTGTTTAATAACAATTGGACTATGACGATGCGTCCTTTTTTACAGAACAATGTAAGGGAGTGTTAACGGACCGAAATAGAAAGGTTGACATGTTCATATCATCTATACAAACATATAAAAATGGGTGATTTTCCAGAAATAGTCTGATTATAAAAAAACAATCTACTCTCAGCCCACAATACGCTTAGTCAACATCTGAATTAGGAAATCCCTTTTTTTTTTATTAAGTACAATTACTCTGAAACTGTTTATGGCCATATGCTTGATAGTTTGTGATCACACACCATTGGTTGAGGGATAGCTTTTAAAATATTATACTCAAATCGATTGGGAAAAACATAACTAACTAATTCGATATTTCAAATGAGGTCAGCTTTATACAAACTTGGTATGTAGTTAAAGTTAGTGATTCTAGAAAAACTTTAAGATTAACATTTCAAATTTTAAAATATTATCAAGCGGATTTAAATGGTGACATACACATGATAAAGGTAGAGACTTTTAATGTTAACACAAATAATTCAGAGATAATTACTTGCACAGAATAATTCATTTTCATCCGACTTGTTTAATTACTGGAAAACAGAAGATCAATGCTACAGTACACAGGAGAAAACAAATATTTGCTCTAATCTGATATAACATTTTGAATGCTAAAATTTCTGCTGAAAATATACAAAGGTTGAGTATTTGGAACACTTGTTTATACAGCCACTTTGTTTTGGAAACAAATCTGAATATAGACACCGTCAATGACAGCAGCTGTGCAAAATATTGTGGAAAAAAAACATTAACGCTGTTCATTAAATGCGAAACCAAATATAGAAAATTATTAAAAATGATCTCATAAGTTCCGTGATATAGAATTCAATGAATTAATTAAGATTCATCCAGCTACATATACTATAAGTTAACACATTTTCCGTATATGCAATTTTAATTTTGAAGGAAGGTCCAAAATCCTTAAGGGAAGCTTTAGCTGAATAAAATTGTATGCAACAAGATCAGGGCTTGATATCAATTCAAAAATTGAATTCTTAATTAAAAAATCAAGTAGAGATTTTCTCTTATGTCAAAATAGATATGTATGGTGGGCCAAAATAACTATTGTGTATGTTGATATGGATAACATTATTTGTTTTAACCGGTTTACGATCTGATTGAGAAATGGTTAAAAAAAAAACATTCTGTAATAGATAAAAAGATAAAAAAAAAAAATATTTAAACTTATTCTAAATCACCTCTTCATAAACTTTTAGTATACCTGTCCTAAATCACCACAGCATTAACTTGCCTAAATCAAATGTAAACTATGTTAGAGACTATTAATGAACTTTTGTTCACATGATTTGAAATTAACCTGCAAACAGACTTTGACAAAATCTGTTGCAAAACAACTATAATGAAGGTAATTTGAAAATTAAAGCCCTCAAGAGCAAAACATACAAATATTCAAATATTGTTTGAAAGTAAAGACATATCTTGTATGCAAGTGTCGTGTTCAGCGTAAATTTTTATTGGTTTTAATTAAACGATGTTACAAGCACAAATTTCCAAAAAAAAGAAAACAAAAAGAGACAATGGGAAAACGTGTTTCTAACCAATGTTATCTTTGAAATGAGGAATATATAAAACAAATAGTAATGAATGTAAAACTGCGATCAAGAAAGAACCTTATGTGATTTAAAATTTAAAATATTAATTATCAGTAGTTCAACAGGTGAGTTAAGGCTTATTTACTTGTACTAACTGTCAAGATGAACAATAATAAACCAATGGGCATATGTTTTTTTTTTTTTTTTTTTTTATCAGACTAACGTGTTTTATGTTCTCGAATGAATTGAAATATTTTGTTTTCAATAAAATTGAGAATGGAAACGGGGAATGTGTCAAATAGACAACAACCAGACCAAAGAGCAGAAATAAGACCAAGGCCACCAATGGGTCTTCAGCACAGCGAGAAAATCCCTGGACGTCACACTAAACCCCGATCCATATAGTTAAACCGAAATAAAAAAAAAACATACAAGACTAGCATTGGCCAGAGGTTCCTCAGTTGGGACAGGCGCAAAAATGCTGGAGGAGAAGGGGGGGTTAAACATGTTTTTATGAGATCCAAATGATCTCCCTATACCTCTAGCCAATGTAGAATAAACAAACACACAGCAATACGCACATTAAAATTCAGTTTAAAAGAAGCTTCAAGCATTTACATTTAGGGTCTAACATTGGATAAATAGAACACATTACAATATATCTATCTATATTTATAATTGGTGCATGAATTATTGCTAGTTTTTGGTTTAATTTAAAAACAAGTTGAGCCTAATTGATTGATTTTGATCAGACTCGTGTAATTATTAGAAACAGCTAATCAATATATGCTGTTCTACAGACTACAAAGAAAACAAAATTAACAGGTGTTTTTACTTTA